CTGCATTCTATATAACTATGAGACCAGAAGAACTAGATGGTGCCTGGCTACCACTGTCATCCACTTGGAAGGGGATCTATGTAGAAGACCCTTGATAGAGAGGGAGAACAATGTGGAACAAAACTCAAGACCATTTGGAGGAAAGAAAAAAAAAGTGGGGACCATGTTTGCCAGTCTGATAGAGCCTGGTAGAACCACTGAGACTATGGCCCCTAGCTGCCCTTCAGGTCTGGCATTGAACCCACACCTGTGGTTTCCAGCCAAAGAAAAGACAGGCATATGAGTTGAACATTTACCTCAAGTAGATACACTCCCTGGAGAGAACAATCATGGGAGGAAGAAGGGCTGCTTATGCACAGGGAGACAGCTCAGGGGGCAGGAGTGCATGGAGGGATGGACACTGGAAAAAGGTAACTATGGGGAGGAAGTAGGTGGGGAGCTGTAAAAAATAAAATAAAATAAGAAGAGCAAAGTAAAAAGACTGTATGTGTCTTTCTCTGGAAGAGAGACTTACACAAGTAGACTGGAGCATACATTCCAGAAGTTGTGTGACTTGAGGAAGTCTAACTCCAAGACTGATGAATCACTGGTTTCCCATTTATGAAATGGGGTTAGTAATAGGATGCCCCACCAAGGTGTTTCAAGCATTAAATTACATTACTTTAAAAGAACATAGTATGGTTTCTGTCTCAACAAATCTTTGAAAATAAAACCAGAGTAACTGTATATTAACATCAAAGAGTCCACTCTGGCCTGACATTCTCAATTGAATGATAATGCAATCTTAAGAGATAAGGCTTTTCCATCCAAGATTCCCAAATCATTTAGTTATATTCCAGCTGCTATTTCATGAATATAGAGGGAGCGTGCCACTCACCCAACCAATTGTGTTCTCAGTTATTGTACAAGTAGTGGCAGTGGTGCACTGGTAAATATTTAACAACCAGCTCTCTGAAAAATAATGTACAAGTATGTGGCACTTAACATCCATAATACATTCTGTGAAATAGGACACTATGCAATTTGGACATTGCATGAACACTATATTATATGCAGACAGTCCTCATATAATCTGTAGTTAAATCCCCATAAAGTCTATCATAGTAAAACCTTATGGGAACCCACTGGACAAAGCCTGATAGCTGTATACACTAGGATGTGTGCCCGGGATGGGTTACTGGCTGCACCGACAGCTGAATCAGAGACTTTGTGCACAGCTGGGCACAGGGCAGGCAGGTTGGCACATGAGGGCATAGAGAGGTGGCTGTGGGACCAGCTGTGCAGGTGCTGGGAGCATGGCTGATGCTGGTGACCCTGGCTGTCACCCCACTGTTGGTGTGGCAGTGCTGCTGCCACCACCCAAACCCAAGAGCCTGCAAGTGCCCGGGTCCAACTGGTGCCACCAGCGCCCATGACAGGAGCAGAGGAACCTCAGCACTGCTGGAAGTGAAAGGCTGCACGGTTGCTGGGAGGGTGAACAAAGCCAGAAGGAAGGGAAAGAGGAAGCTGAGGAGGAGACACTGCTGGGATTAGGATGTACCTTGTTGTTGTTGTTATTTGCCATCGAGTCGGCCCTGACTCATAGCGACCCCTCCTTGGGTTTCCGAGGCAGTATCACTATGGAAGTAGCATTGCTCAACCTTCCTTCCAAGGAGTGACTGGTGGGTTTGAACCACCAGCCTTCTGGGTAGCAGTCAAGTGCCTTAGGCACTATGCTACCAGGGCTCCTAGAACACCGTTACTCTTTCACTCTGAAGGTCTGGGGTCTTTAAAAGCATTAGGAAGAAATAATAAACAAAAGGAGAGCTGCTTTCCTTTTTTTAAAAAAATAAAAACACCTTATGGAACCATGGATGGGTATGCGGTTGGTTGTTGTCTGAGAAGATATCAACCAATGCATAACTCTATATACATATATGTAAATAAGCTTATTATGAATTTTATTTCTGTGGAGGATGTACAGCATCAGCTTACAAAATACAATTTAAATATACAATATCTTTTATTATAAATTTCATATGTTGTTGTTGTTATGTGCCGTCGAGTCGGACCCGACTCATAGCGACCTCTACTTGGGTTTCCCAGGCAGTATCACTATGGAAGTAGATTGTCCAACCTTCCTTCCGAGGAGTGGCTGGTGGGTTTGAACCACCAGCCTTCGGGTTAGCAGTCAAGTGCCTTAGGCACTACGCGACCAGAGCTCCTGCCTCGGTTTATTTTGGCCTAGCTCATATCCATACCCAACCTATGGTTGCAATTGACAAACAAGTATAGTTCTGTCATGAAAGTTGATCTATTTATTTTTAAGTTGGAAAAATATGAAATAACAAAGACATATGTTGGAAACCCATTCAATCATCAGTAACATTAGTCATCAATTATCAATGAATTGGATGGTAGGTTTTGAATATTGGAAGAGTATTTCCTCAAATTTTTTATGCTATTCCCAATATTAGGTTAAAAGCATGACATGAATTTCTAAATTGAATCTGCATCATTACATTTTCTCTATTGCTTTCTTACATCTAGACAATCAACAAAACAACAAAAGTTCTGACTTGTATCATTTGCTGACCTCTGCATTATAAATATTCCCACCACTGTCAAGTTCAAGCTACAAACATGATGCTATTAATTGTGGAATTGGGAAAAAATGGTGCAGCAGCATGTCTGGTATGGTACTCTGAAGGGCATAGATAACAGTACAATGTAGTAAAATAATTAGGAAGTAATAAATTTTGAGGTTTTATTCCTTTTGTTTTTAATATAATTTATTTAACTGTAAGTTTATATAATTTAGTCTTTAATAATGGCCAATTTTAGCACAGCTCACAGAATCCTGAAATTTTAACAGCTAGACTTCCTGAGCTGGCAATTTTGGCTCCTGTGCACCATTGGGTAGTGCTGTGGGGAAGATGGTTGGGTATGGGTGATGGAGGGGAGAAAACAGGATAAATAGCAAGTTCAAAATATCATCACTTCTTACTACCTGGACCCCTTAGAGGCCTCCTGGAAAATGCCTCTGCCCTGTTAAGATGAGCTTTTCTAAAACACTAATCTACATTTATAAGATCCCCTTTGTGAGCACGTAATAGTATCTTTCCAGCGTTCTGTTACAGCTTGACTCATGGAAAAGCACAGAGTTTTTCTTCTGGCTATTCTAGCCTCTTCTCTTCCACAGACACAAGTTCTATAGAATAGAATAAAGGTGACTCCTTCAAACAAAGTATAGAGCTCATTAAGGTTTACCACATTGTATCCAGCAGAGAAAATAGGTTTCTGCCAACTGCACTGTACTTGCCTGCCTATGACTGTGGTACACAGCCCCCCGACACACACACACACACACACACACAAAAACCTAAAACAATTGACATGGAGTTGATTCCAATTAATGATTACTGTGGTGGTTAAATTTGTGTGTCAACTTGGCTGGGCCTGATTGAGTGGCTGGGCAGCTGAATGGAGTTATTCCCCATGGTGAGATTGTTAATTAACTCCACAGTGGAATCTATTGGAGCAGCTTAGTAGCTTCTTTGGGTATGTGGGCTGCTTCCCATATATAAGCAACAGCTTTGGGAATGGTCTCTAGCTTATGGCACGCTTGAACCCTGTTTGTAGTCTTGTCGTTGCTCAGCAGCCTGCCATGCTCTGCAGACCTCGGGAATTTCAGTGGAATTGAATGAATGGCCTGCCATGTGGTTTGGTAACATGGAGACTGTGCCTTTTCACTTGTCAACCTTGGTTTTGTCAGCCTCAGCAGCCAGTAGCTGCCTGAGTGGAGAGATGTCTCCAGCCCAAGGTCAACGGGCTTTCACCCAGCCCCTAGAGCCTGGCATTTGGAACTCAGACTTCTAGACTCCTGAACTGTAACAGAATAAACTCCTGTTTGTTCAAACCATCCCATTTGTGGTACATTCCTGTCAGAGGAGCACTGGGTCACCAGAACAATTGCCCCATATGTTTCAGAGTAGAACTGTTCTTTGTAGCATGTTCAAGGCTGTGACCATCCAGAAGCCAATCACCAGGCCTTTCTTCTGAGATTCCTGTGGATGAATTCAAATGACCAATTTTCAGCAGCTGAGTGCCTAATGATGCGTGCCACCCAGGGACTCCTGACTGTGGCCCCAGGCAGCTACGTTATATATGTTCTCCAGAACTTCCCAGAGAACTATGACACCTCTTTCCCAGAGAAAGTGAAGAAAAGGGGAAGGAGTGCATATTTCTGCCAAAAGCTGGGGTTTGGCTAAGATGACTCAACACAGTCCCCTTCCTGGCTCCAGTAGTTTAAGCACTTGACTCGGAGTTCTTGAGAACACAAAGTGATTTAAGGCCTGAAAGAAGATGAGCAATCCTCAAGACACAGGCAGAAAAGTCCCAGTGAGACAGGAAGCTGCTGCACAGACTTGCCGGCAGAGGTAGCACTGCCTGACTGACATGTAGCTCCTCCGCCCTGACATCTGTCTGTGAGCAGCTGCTGGGCTCCCAGCAACTCCCTTTCCTCTCCTCCCTAGCTGATGGATCCCAAGGGGCTCATCTCCTTGAACATCCTGCTGTTTCTTTCCCTGGCTTTTGAGCTGAGCTGCAGAACAGGTGAGTATTGATCTGTTTGGGGATTTGGATACCATGATGACCTGCCAGGAATGAGTATAGCCCTGTGGATGGAAAAAAGATGTGGGAGCTGGGAGCTGTGGCCAGCTATCTCTTCTGTAGGAACTGGCTCTGAGTTCTCCTCTCTCTTTCAAAGAGGAAGGAACATTATGAGTTCCTGGACTCCTACCAAGCCTCAGCCCCCATCAAACCTAGCTTCCAAGGAAACTGGGAGCTCTAAGCCAAAGGCAGTGGTCACATCCCAGACCAATTTCTCAGGGTGAGAAGCTCTGGTTGAAGTCTTGTTTGAGTGACTGGTTTTGCATGGGTTTGCATTCTGACAAAGAACCAGGCTAGAGAGACTAAGCTAGAGGAATGGAGGTCTGGAAGATTAGTCCTACATCTCTGCCCTGGAGCAGGATCCTCACACACACAAATAGACAAACCAGGAACATGAGCGGACATGAACAAAGGGGTTGGAGTGGCAAGGAGAGGGTAGAAGTGGAAACCTCAGGTCTTCAGCTAAGCACGGACAGTGGCTGCATGTGGTCACTGGTGGTTACTTTCCTGTAAGAGAAGGTTCCAAGGAAGCAAGAAGGGGAGAAGCAAGGATTTCTGGAGCACAGGTCTGGTTACAGGGCTGAAAATGCATATCTGAAGGCCTCAGTTGGGGCAGCTTCAGCAGTTGGATCAGAGAAATAGCAGAGTATTTGGAGATGGGTTCTACTCTTATCGTTTGCTTTGTCTTCCTCCCAAGACAAGCTAGTGTTCTTTGTTCAGTACTATCAGGGCTATGAAAAAGTGTACTTGAGGGGGGAAAAAGTGAAGCAAGAAGTGGTCTTTGGGCTGACTGAGTGAGATGAGAAACAATTCCTTTCTGCTTAAATGTCTTGAGGCTTCAGTTAAAGTGTGGGAGGCAACCTGGAGTAGTGGCATCAGTGAAAGGGGGGAAATCCTGATGCCCAGGGTGTTTTGGGCTTGGGGTTTTCAGGACCGCAAATCCATGTAAACTTTTCCAAGAAAAGCCCCGAAATATGCCAGGGATGTGGGGTAGCTGTGGATGGGGTAGCTGTGGACTATCTCCCACCAGGCTCCAAGATGAGCAGACTTACAGGATACTTGAGCCCTTGCTGGGCCCCATTTTCCCTCAGAATCAGGCAGATCCATGGCTCTTACTTCATGAGGCCTAGGGAAGGAGGAACAGAGCTCAGGACTCAGAAAGCCAAATGAGCCATTTAAGCTGTTATAGGAGAGCCAAGACTTTCTTGCTGGACCACCATTCTTAGAGTACTTGTTGGTGACTATAAGGAATGATTGGGTTGAAGTGTGAACTGGGCTTTTCCATCTCTGCACTTGTTTGGTTCCTGATCAGTCTGGTCTATGACATCTACAGGTTCTGCTGACAACTGCTTCACTGCAGGCTTTGGGGGTCAATGGTTAGTGAGAAAACAGCCCAGCCCTACAGGACCATCTACCCATTCAGGAACTACTCCCTTTCATGCATTCTGTCTTTCTGAAATATGTAGAAAATTTTTTCAGTGTTTTTATTTTTATTTTCACTCTTTTGTAAAATCCCAGTAAAACCCACACACAAATATTTTGCAAATGAGACAGGTTACCCATAACAGATTTACCCAACCAAGAAGCCTGATTTCTTGTAAAATCTGTACCCACTCTCCTTCCCATCTCTACTCAGTTCACCTTCCAACTCTCAGTCAAAATTCTAAAAATTAAAAAGTCTGTATGTTCTTTCCCCCAATAAAGCAGATTTTCCATTTCACCCAGTAACATATTTTATGTCCCCACCTCCTTCACACACACTAGGGGAGAGGTGAGGTACAAGTGACTAGGTGCTAGCCTTGGCCCAACCTTGTCTGTTCACTGGTTTATTCTGTGCCAAGATGTAGATCTAATGCTTCCATCTCTGGAAAACTTTCATACTGTAATATGATGCCATCACCTTCACTCTCTCCGGCTCTTTACTGGAAGTCCAAACATCAGGTTAATAATTTGAACAATTCTGTTCAATCACTATCTATTGAGGACACATCATGCGGCAGGCACTGTTTGGGGAAAATAAAATAAACTGCAACTTTTGCCCAGAACCTAACACAGTGCCTGGTATATGAGAGTCTTTCCATAAATATCTGTTGAATGAAATAGTAGTATATATTGCACCCTTAGTATGTACAGTCACTGCTTTAAGCACTTTCTGTGTAGTATTCATTTAATTCGTACACAATCCTATGAGGTGTGTATTATTATTGTTACCATTTTATAAATGAGGAAAGAGAGCACAGTGTGGTCTAGCAATTTCTCCACTGTCATACAGCCTGACTCCAGACACTACTGTCTCAAGGAAGAAAATTGAATAAGTTTATGTTTGGAGAGGGGAGGCTAAAATTTGTATCCATGTCCCAGAGTGATAATTAGAATACACTATGTTTAATTGAAGTAGATAGAACATGGTATAGAATTTTTATGAGAGACTGAAATATCCAGAAGAATTTTATGTAGAAATTGTAAAGTGGGTAGAAATGGTTTTTGTCACACAAGTTTTCACTTAAATACTTTCTTACGTAGCTTGTTTGTTGGAAGAGGGTCACTTGAACTATAAAACTATAAAACCTGAATAATACATAAATTATAAGTGAAGACTTATCTCCCTCTCATCCCTCCTTGAATGCATATAATGTACAAGTTTTTTGCATATCCACTAAAATATATACTTCTTTTGGGTTGGATTTTTGTGGGACTTGAAGAAAAATTCTAGATGAAGGCATAAATGCAGAGGTAAAGTGTTACAAGTGTTCAGATGGAATGATAAATGGTATGTCGTGCCTGAAATCTAGGACGCATGGCTAAGGTGTTTCCACCTCCTCACTGGAAAGCAGGGAGACATATCCCCATAATTTTCTCCAAAACTGTATCTCTTATGTGGAATAAAAATGGGGCAGTCCACTTCCATAAAGATTTACAGCCTTGGAAACCCAAAGAGGGTTGCTATGAGTCAGAATTGACTCAATGGCAGTGAGTTTGTTTGTTTTTTACATATCGCTTAGGAGTATGGCTAGGAGCTCTGGTAGCATAGTGCCTAAGGCATTTGACTGCTAACCAGAAGGCTGGCGGTTCAAACCCACCAGCCACTCCTTGGAAGGAAGGTTGGGCAATCTACTTCCATAGTGATACTGCCTCAGAAACCCAAGGAAGGGTCGCTATGAGTTGGGTCTGACTCGATGGCACATAACAACAACCACATAGGGGTATGTCTTAGTTATCTAGTGCTGCTATAACAAAAATACCACAAATGGGTGGCTTTAACAAACAGAAATTTATTTTCTCTTAGTTTAGGAGGCTGGTGCCGGCTCTAGGGGAAGTCTTTCTCTGTCGGTTGGCTCTGGTGGAAAGTTCTTGTCTCTTCTGAGCTTCTGTTCCTGGGAGATCTTCATGTGGCTCGACATCTCTCTTTCTCCATCTCTGCTTCTCACTTCTTTTGCTTGTTTAATTTCTTTTATATCTCAAAAGAGATTGGCTTAAGGCACACTCTACATTAATCCTGTCTTATTCACATAACAAAACAACCCATTCTCAAGTGGAATTATAAACACAGGCATAAATGTTAGGATTTACAACACATGTTTTTGGGGCAACACAATTAAATCCAGTACAGGGTGTTAGAAAAATGAAACAAAGCACATTCTGATTTTTGAGAGAGGAAAACTTAGACTCTGTGCTGTCATTCATTCATAATTCAGTGTTTTGTTCACTTGGACAAGAATGTATTGAACTCCACAGTGTTCCAGGTAGATGATAGAGATACAACAGTAAACAAACCAATTGCATTCCTTGCTCATGGGTGCTTATAACTGAGTAAGAATGATAGGCATTGAGCCAGAAGTTAAATATGTGATGAATGGCATGCAGAAGACATGCAAAGTGCATTTCAAGCATATAGCAGGGAAGGCTAACCTAAGCTAGCCATCATAGAAGAAACCTTCCTGAGGAAGGGATATTAAGACTAAGACCTGAAGGATGGGAGGAGTTAGATAGATTTAAAAAGTTAAGAGTTTTCAGGCTTAGGCATGGTAAATGCAAACACGTTAAGATAGAAGGACCCAGAAACATGAAGGAATAGGTGAACAACAAAAAACTGGGGTTACTGTTTAAAAAGCAGCCTTAGACAAATTGGCTTTTATTTTTAGGCTTAGGTTTACTATAAGAACTATAGGCCAACAAGTCCAGCCTTTTCTCTACCTGAAGGAAATGTGCAAGGTGCTTCAACCACACATGAAAGTATCAGGGCAGGCCCCAAAGGGTTATCATTAGGTAAAATCCTACCTTGTGAATGGGTTAGTTAAATCCTACTAATTTCAGGCCAATATCCGTGGGTCCACGTGAATCATTCTACATTCAGCACAGAATTACCCACAAAGGAAAATGAGTTGGTATTTCCAGCAGCAAATATTTCCTCCCAGATTCTTTTGGTAAACAGGGGCTGACTGAATCACAGACTCACTGGAAAACACTCATCAGGCAGTAGGATGTCTCAGGGACTCCACTTGGTGGGTTTTATGAAACACTCTAAATCCTCTACTTATTTTCCACATATGCTTTGGTGAACATGATTTCCAGTCTTCCCTCCCGACCTGCCTCTCACATGAGGGCAGGTGTTGCACCAAAATTCTTTATGTGGGTTGTGGGTTGTGAAGGTCTCTTCCCCAGCTCTTCCTGACTGAGTGTTGGTTTCAATCCCTACAATTGAGTGTGCATAAACCACTCAACCACTCAGCTTGTCCTTCTCAGTTGACCTCTTCTCTCTTTCTTACTCCTTTCTTTCTCTTATTTTTCATTCTTCTTTTTTTTCATTCCCTTTCTCATTCTATATCTCCTCTCTCCCCAATTCCAATTTCTACAAGCAACCATAGGGCAGGGTTAAGTATGGTGAGGGAATGTATGGGAGAGATATGGAAGGGTAGAGGGTTATGGTCTGATAGTGGGCATAA